TGTCCGGCCTACCCTCTATATTTATGTTACTAGGGACTTCCCAACCAGATAATGCCTGCCCCCCAAAATAAAATTACATAACTGCAAACTGATCAAATTTCTTTATTTTGCTTCTGAATTTTCCTGATAACTACTTGCCTTTAATATTTTGTCATTGGAACACTAAACGTCTTTTGGCTTGGGGTTCCTCAATTCATGAATTGCTTCTTACTTAAATGAACTCTTTAGAATTTTATTGTGCCTTGGATTTGTTCTTTAAAAGTTTGGTGACAGAAGTACATCTTAAGTAGACCCTCCTCCATAGACCCTAAAAATGGGGGTACTTTAGGAGGACAGAATCCAAGGAGTCTGGAGCTGTTCTGTCCAGAATGCCAGCAGTTATCATGTTTACATATGGACCCAGACCCTGCACTGGGCCTTTCAAGAGAAATAGGTGTACCTTACCAGAGATGATCTAACATTACAGTGGCCAGAGTGAGGAAGTTTTAATCTAGATAAAACTATTCATCTAAGGAATTCATTGGGGGAAAAAGGAGAACCCAAAAGCCTCAGAAATAATGAGATACATTTTTCATTGGTATATGGAGTCTTCCAAAAGGCAGAATGACTCAAAAACTAGTCTCTTTAAAGACATTTCTATAGTACACTAATGAGAAAACATTATAAACCTACTATCCTCTTTAATTTCTTGCTTTTCCAATCTGAACCTGTTCAAAGCCAACTTCCTTTTAATTCTAACCACTAGATAACCAGGGAAAATGCCTACTTTCTTAAAAAAAATTAGATCCTCAAATTAGCTAGTAGTATTGGCAACAGCTATTAATAATTCGGTTATTAAGTATGAAATTTCTAAGTACTAGATTTGACAGTTAATAATAACTCTTTGTATTGCACACAACTCTAAGCTATTATGAAAGCAATCACCTGAGACCAAAAAGGATAAAGACTAATTGGAAATAGAATGAATTTCTCCTCAGTCGGTCACCTAAAATTGAGTCCACAGACTTAGTGAAATTGACTGATAATAACAGAAGAGTATGTCCCATAATTCCCTTGTGGAGAAAACTTAACATTCTTTCACTGTATTTTTGAGATGTATAAATCTATATCTTTCTTTTATTTATTTTTATGAGATAGAGTCTGATTATGTTGTATAGGCTAGAGTGTCATGGTCTTAGCCTTACTCATAGCAACCTCAAATTCCTGGATTCAAGCCATTCTCCTGCCTTAGCCTCCCAAGTAGCTGGGACTATAGGTGCCCGCCACAATGCCTGGCTATTTTTTGGTTGTAGTTGTCATTGTTATTTGGCAGGCCCAGGCTGGATTTGAACCTGCCAGCTCTGGTGTATGTGGCTGGTGCTTTAGCCGCTTGAGCTACAGGCACTGAGCTAT